AACCAATGCAGTCTGAGCCGGAAAGAGAATTGATTAGTTCATCTCTCGAGTCTTTTGGGGCAGCACCAAGCTCAAACCGGTGTGCACCGTTTTGCTACGGTTTCCGGCTTGAACGACATGTTTCCTGGAAACTGTGTGCAACGGGGTTTGAGATACGTTTTCTCTTGTTTGGTGGGTGTGCATGTCAGAAATGTCAGCCCAATCAGCAGCAACATGTATATAAACCACGCGGTATTAAAGAGACAGCTCGCACAATGGGTCCAAGTAAAGTCGTTTACAAACGTGTCCGCTGCAGCTCGGTATATGCAACAATTGAAGATATTAGAAGATATGTTTGTCGTAAGAGTTTTATAGTAAAAATATAGCATGTCAACATGATGATGTAGTTGTTTATATTTTTAGCTTCATTGCAAGGCAAGTTTATTTATATACCAAATTTCATACACAATGGTAATTAGGTGCTTTACATAAAAATGAGAAAGAAAATAAAAGGTATTAAAAAATTAAGAAATAGAAATAAAAATAAGAAATTAGTCAGTAGTATGTGAGGCTAAATAGATGCGTTTTCATTTCTGTTTCAGCAATCCCTTTGGAACAGGCTAGTGCATCGAATGGGCCTAGTCAACTTCCACTAGGCCTACACATTCCCGCTGCACCACTGCATTTGCCTCCGACTCCTGCACCACAGAAGTTGGCTCCTGCACCACTGCATTTGCCTCCGGCTCCTGCACCACTTAATTTGTCTGTTGCTGGACCATCACCTGCCTGTGCTCCAAAGTGGGCACCAGTCTCAACCCCCCAACAAATGCATAAAGGTACATTAAGTTCATTCCTAGCACAATTTTTCCGTTTATATATGTTCTGTGACTTATCTATTTAAATGTGTGCTATAGATACAAAGCCATGGATGCACAATGCAACATTGCTTCTAATTTCTCTGACAAAGCAAATGGCTGAAGACTTTCAATCTCCTGCATTAATGAAAGTAGAAGTGTGGAAAAAGGTAGCTGCACAAATGCTGGCAAAAGGATATGACTTTGGAGCAGAGGCATGTGACAATAAGTTCAGGCAGTTAAAGCACAGGTTTGATTTGATACTGGCATTTGAATTATTTTGGGAGTAGGGCCACTTGAAGACGTTTGCTATATCTGGGTTTCTATTATAGTAGTCTAACAATAGTGGACAGTAAGAAGAAGACTGGGAGTGGTGCCAGCAGCTGGGTCTTTTTCTCATCAATGGAGGACCTCCTGGCTGATGATCCCAGTGTGGAGCCTGTTCTGATCGTGTTATCTTTTGCTGGTGATAATCTTTTCCATGTCAATTTTTTTTGTGCCACATCAACATGAATTAGCACATCAGATGAGTTGAGTGTAGTTTAATCAAAAAAAATGTTATATTCATATTTTTTTTATAAAAATCTTATACATTATTGGATCTTATTTGTAAGTTTTAATTCAATCACTCAGTGATGTCATAATATGGCCTCACATTAGCATCCATGTTAGATACAAAGTAGCTCCAATGTTGTCATCAACTTTTACTGTGTAACTTGGTAGTGTTGCTAACAGCTTTATTTGAAGGATGTCTATTGTGTGGCTCAGGTAATTAGAAGCTGGGTTAACCGGATGTTTAATGTAGCTTTGTTGGCACATGACTCTAAATCGCAGTAGATGCAGACATGTGTAAGTCCATGTGAGAACCCAAAATGTATTTGTCGGAGGAAAGTGATGTTTGCTGCCTTGATCATTACCATTTTGAGGCCACCAAGTTTAATCTTTCTTTCCACTCAGGATCTTCATCAGATCCAGTTGGCCCAGGACCATCAACTTCACAACCATCATCTTCACAACCTAAGCCATCAGCAGAACATGGCAAAAAGAGAAGGCGCAAGTCTGAAGCACCCGAGTGGTTTGAGCAGTATGTCACTGAGCAGAGGAGGCAGATGTCAGAACTCATGGCCCTGCAAAAGCAAGCAGTGGAAGTGGCAAGCGAATGTAACGACATCTTAAAATAATTTGTTTCTGCTTTAACGAAGAAATAGCAACTTGTGTTTTCTCCTTTTGCCACATTCTGCTGATGGTTAGGTTCTATTTTGTTTGTTTAATGATGTACAGTATATATGCTGAAGGAAATACATGCAATCTTGATCATCTCACCTTTGTGGTTTGCTATTCAATATTTTATTTCCATTCTTTTATGAAACAAAAACATCTGAAAACTTAGGTGAACACAAAAAAATTTGTTCAATCATGACAACTCTCGGAACATTTTAGCATGGTGATGGATATGACAATGTTAATGTATTTGGTCTTGGCGGAACAGATCTGCTACGCTGCTGCTGAATTGCTGCTGCTGTTGGTTATTGCTGTAGTTGTAGATTATTGCTGCTGCTGCAAGCAAGTACAGGAACTTGCTACTGCCAATGCATATGGCGATACGGTGCCATGAGCATTTAAGACATACTGCTGCTGCACAAATAGCATATAAAATAACCCATAGCAGATCTATACAGGTGGAGCTGGGGAAGGTGAAGGGTTTCAGAGAATCTCTGAAAGCGCGCTGCAGGAATCTCTAGTGAATGCTAGCCAGCCATATAAATGCAAGGCAGTAAGCTCATTGGCTGCATATGCAGCATGAAAGAATGTCTATGAATGCTGATCCCAATGCATCTTTTTCATTATCAACATGGATATTAAAATCACCAACAATTAAAACTTTATCTGCAGCCAGCACTAACTCGGATATAAAATCAGCACATTCTTTAATAAAGTCTGTATGGTGCCCTGGTGGCCTGTATACAGTAGCCAGTACAAACATCACAGGGGATCTATCATTAACATGTGCTTCTCTGGATAATGTTAAATGAAACAAATTATTTAAAAAAAAAATTATTTGTTAATAAAACAAATACAGTTGAAAAGTGCAAAAGTGCAAAAAAAAAAAGAATTCCCAGATAGGCATGAACAGTCACCCAATTGGATCCCATTAAAATCCTATAGGAATGATCCTACAGGATAGTCATGTCTTGTCCTATAAGACCATTCCTATCGGAATCCTATAGGAACGGTTCCAAAATATGATAGAAATTCCAAATAGAATCCTGTACAATTTTCTTATTGGAATCCTGGATCTTCTTCCTGAAAATGTAAATGGTTTATATCCATTTCTTTATTCATTTGTTTTATTTTCAATTCATTGTAGTGTGTGTGTGTGTGTGTGTGTGTGTGTGTGTGCGAGTGTGCGTGCGTGCGCGTGTGTGTGAAAGACAGAGAGAAACTTTCCAACTTAAACTAAACACAATTTTTGGAAACAGTTAATTCACGGAATGGTCATCCCTGCACTAGAAGAAAATATTTTTTGCTTAGAAAAATGTAAGAGGATTTTTACCCATTTCTTTATTTATTCATTAAGTTAAACATTTTTATTTCAATTTATCAGTGTGTGATAGCCGTAAAAAAATCAGATCGTGATTAAACCAGAAAAATGCAAAATATATTAACAAAAACAATTTTTAAAGTTTGGGCTCCTAAACATTCGATCACTTGCACCCAAAGCAGTTATTGTAAATGAAATGATCACAGAGAATAGATTTGATGTACTCTGCTTGACTGAAACCTGGCTCAAACCAAATGACTATATTGGTCTAAATGAGTCTACTCCACCAAGCTACTGTTATAAGCATGAGCCCAGTCAGACTGTTCGTGGCGGCGGTGTTGCAACAATATATAGTGATATTCTCAATGTTACTCAGAAAACACAAGTACTCCTCGCTGCAGCCAGTAGCGTGGTGACGTCATGCATTTCGACGTCACATGCACATGCATGACGTAATGCATGTCTTTAAAACGCATGCGCCGTACGGACTCTGATTTTAACCCACAGTAGATGGCAGTAATGCTCTATTTAAGATTGCGAACCGCCAATAAAAACGAATAATAAGAAGAAGACTCTGATTTTAATACTGGATGTTTGTAATAGGCATCCTTACTGTTCGAAAACAAAGAGGAATTCGGTGGAAACAAAAGCAGTAAGTCAATGAGCATAATTTATGTTTTAATTACATCTTTTTATTATCTTGATGTTGTATATGTATATGCATTAATCATGTTGGTGCATCTATAAATAACTAAATGTAGGCTAATGAAATAGACCTAATTATACTAATTTATCTCACATAGCAACCACAATGTTCACAAAGTGTGTGTGTGTGCGCGCGCGCGCGAGAGAGAGAGCGTATGTCATATGATATAGTCTTACCATGGCAGAGACTGCCAAATTACTCACACTTCACTTTACAATAACGTCCTATTAGTTAATGCATTAACTAACATTAACAGAGCAATATTTTTGTTGCAGTATACATGAATCTTTATTGACGTTAGTTAATATAAATGCAACTGTTCATTGTTAATATTAGCTCAGTTCCATTCAATAATATTAACAGATACTTTTGATTTAAATAATGAATTAGTAAATGTTGAAGTTAACTATAGCAAAGATTAATAAATACTTATGAAGTATTTCATTAACTAATGTTGACAAATGAAACCTTACTGTAAAGTGTTGCTAATTTATTTATATTGTCCGTAAGAACACAGTACCATATGTGTGATTGTCTTTGATGTTTTCTTTTGCACCTTCATAATATGTTCATATTCTACATCGTAAACATTTATTTTACAAGTTGTTTATATTCCACTTCACATACAACTTTTATATATATTCTTTATAAACAAAATAAGTATCTTAGGTACTTTTCAGACAAAGCAAATATTGCTTTTCCTTGTTTGAAATTTCCTATGTCGGGCACTGTTTAAAGTAACATTTCTTACAACAAGCAAGAGATAATGCATAACATTGTTTCAGAGTTTGCTTTAAACCAGTGTACTATGTAAATACCTTTCTTCAAACCTTATTTTTAACATTGATTTTTCTCTATTTTATCTAAATCAGTTGACATAAACTGGAGTGTCTTCAACAAAGAACACAAGGAGCAGTCTCGGATGCCATAGTACGTTGGAGATGGCAGGAGCAGAGTCCTGTGATTCATCAGACCAGGCAAACATCTTCATTGCTCCATGATCCAGGCCTGACACTCATGTGCCCATTGTAGACACTTTTGGTGGTGGACAGGGGTCATTATGGGCACTCTAAGCAGTCTGTGGCTCCGCAGCCCCATACGCAAACTGTGATGCACTGTGTGTTCTGACAACTTTCTATCATGGCATCAGGACCTGCACCAGGCAGCTGCGGGACAGCTTCTTCCCTCAGGCTATCTGACTGCTGAACGGCAACTGATAATGTACAATACAATCAATCAGACTACACCGTGTCATATGCTGTGTGTACTGTGAATATTTTTATGCTACTCCCCTACCATCAATCTCTTTGTGTAATGTGTATGTTTATATATCATACAGCACGTCCTGATTTTGCTGAGTTAGATGTGTTCCTAGGTCAACATATTTTGGAAACATTTTAATCCAAAAATGTAGTCTTGACCATATCCCTATACCTAAACCTAACCTTACCCATGAGTAATCCCTAAAATCAGAGGAAATTATAGATGAATGACACTGATGTACAAGCACCAAACACTGATTGTAAGCCTAAACTTCACAAAAACTGTAAACTGGTTCTTCAAATCTGATTGGTTTATCATAGTGTGATGTCGATGTCAACAGTCAGGTAACAGACGATTATCGACATTATCTGGAAAAAAATGATATGATAAACCTATAAGTTGCAAAAAAATATTTTACATAGCCCCATAGTCACCATAAAGGTCTTTTTGCAGGCAAGAATGAAATAATGTAGTAGGAGGGTTGGGAATCCAAAAGCTATTCCAATTTCGGAAATCAGATCAGATGTGTAAGGTCAGGAATTAAATTACTTGTTATAAAAATACATTTCGATTCTGCTTCTCGATTTCTGTATGTGCATTTATTGTGATTTCAAAAGATTCAACTGCAAGAAGACGAAATAGAACTCACTTCTATTCTATTTTGATCTGCAGTTTAATAAAATGTAAACAGAAAAAAGACAAATAGTAGCACTGCATATGTTTCTGAAATTGACAGCAGCTGCTGCCGCCAGTCAGTAATGTTAATCAAAGAACAAAAGAAAAGAAAATCCCTCATTGATCTTGACTGAATCACTTTTGTAACCTCAGTTTATATTTTATTTGCCTGTTGTTCGGCGCTGACTACTGTAATGGAAACGTGCATCTGTGTATGCGATTATTTTGGATATGCGTTCCAATGTAATTTATCCTTATTTAGGGTATAGGCCTATTCTATTTTGATCTGCAGTTTAATAAAAGTTCAACAGAAAAAAGACAAAAAGTATGAAGACAGATAGTAAGCTTCTCAGCTCGCCCCTCAACATGCATGCGTTCGGAGTTTCAGCAGCCCAACACTGAATATTATATTTTGGGCGTTGTATTTTGATTAATGAAATAAAAATGATAAAAATTGCAATACAAAAATGAAATTTAAATTACCCTGCTTCTAAATAAATAAAGCAGCTATTTTTATTTCGTTAAAAACGGGCCAAAAGAGACCTCTGAACTAGTAGGCTACCAGAAAAGAAAAAAAAAAACCTTAACGTTTTTGTTCAGAATTCGTTTTTAATCCCTGCATGATTTTAGTCATACATGATAAATATCAAATACGTTATAGCTTGACTACAAGTTTAAAAACAACGCTGCAATTGTTATAATTAAGGAAATTAAACTTACCATAATGAAATGTCTACACAGGCGATAATGCCAAAAAGAAAGAGAAACATCGGAAAATAGGCATATTTTATTCAAGACATTATTATATGACATCAACATGCATTTATCATTCTTACAATCACCGCCAGAATGTCCAACTTCACCATGATGAACTTAAAATTGGGTATTATTATTTTTCCTCAACAGTTCTCCTCACAAAACGAAATTCATTTCAAACACAAATTTGATAAGAACAGAGTGAAAATTATTAGCAACACAAAATAACAGCAAAGTTA